AATGGACATGGTGTGAACAAGCCTTTACATGCCGTGCCTCATGCCTCTATTCACACAGTGGCTCATGCCTCTGTTACATGCAGTGCCTGTATTAAACAAATGACTCATAACTCTCTTTTACATGCAATGTTTCATGTCTCTCTTTTAAACACAGTGGTTCAAACCTCTTTCACAAAATTGGACTGATTTGCTACGGTACTTAAGAATCTTTTACTAAAAAAATGTGTGAATATTTAATTATCCAATCACGTGACAAGCATCTGCACATGATTTGGTGTGAAAGTGAACGGGAATTTGCTTTTCAGGTGATGGATCACTGAAGTGAATAATTACTTTTTTAGTGAAGATTCTCAACTCCATTAGTAAATCAGCTTCACCATTTGACACCATTACCACATATAGTGCCTAGTGCCTCTCTGTTACACACAGAACCTAATGGCTCTATCATACAGTACATCATATCTTTCTATTACTCATTGCCTACATGCGTAACAGAGAAGTATGAGGCACTGCATGCAACACAGCATGGCATGATGCATTTATTGTAAAATAAAGCTATAAAAATATTAAAGAGGAACTCCAGCCAAAAGTTTCATTTTGGATAGAGTGGGTTAGAAAAATTTATGTTTTTTTTTAATTGTCAGTAGTGGAGTTCTCTCCTCCCCCTGTTTGAGCAATTCCCCACAATTCCACACACATAATTGTAGGTTAATACTTTAGTTTATCCCCTACATTGTCCCCAACATGATCCACAACTGGCCAAATATCCACACTTGCCAAGACTGAAGAGAAGCACATTGCTACTCAGTGTATGAGTAAATAATCATGCTGACTGGATGTATTGTGGTTGCATTCCTTTTTACAACCCTCAGAAAAGAATTTGACAAAAAAGCACACTTAAGCTAAAACACATTGCATTACCAGATTTTAGAAAATAAACCATTTAGTAGCAAACAAAACATATTATCATCATGATAAAGCATTTTATTATACTTTGTGCACATATTTTATCCCTGTGCTTTTTGTTTATCAGCGTGTGTTGATTACTCTTGAGCTGTATGTGTATTCTGTGTGTTTTATTATGATGCGGTATGGGGGAATCTCAGCTTGGAAAAGGCAACGGCCTGCATATTAGTATTTAAGCTATAATATATACCATTTTTGTTCTTTGGTATAGGTATGCTTAAAACGTGACACAAAACTCAGGAGCTAAATCTTAAAAATGCATTCAAGTACCTTACCACCCTCTAGAAGGAAGGACAGTGTCAGCATGAATTCAGAGATGATTGGAGGATCTACAGCTGAGTGATACACAAATAAGATACATTTTTGTTAATCGTTAAGATTATTCTGACTCCGATTGTTGTGATAGCGATGTATCCCTTGTGAGACCTCTATGCCTGGCCTGTATAAGTAGATTAAATCACTGCGGACATTCATTGTCAGATAGCTGAACTCACCAATACCGTGTTCATCCACAAAGGTTGCTTTATTCTGTACGTGCAGACAACAGGATAACAGCGATGAATGGTTACAGTATTATGCGGTCAAAAGATGATGCCTTTCCTAGGGTACTCTGCAGAGTACATGTGTCCTGATTACATGTGGCTGTTAGCTGTGGCCATGACACAGGAAGTACTGACCAACAAGAAGAAGGGTGGGGCTTACATACAGAGGAACTGTCATCGATCTCAGGGATATCAGGTCAGGTGCAATATCACGAAAGGCCACTAGATGGCAGCATAGGAACATATAAAACGTCCATAGAAAATGGTATAGAGAAAACAATCTATATAAAACTTCTATCTAAATAAACTTCTATGCCCCATTGGGGCGGCACAAAGATACTTAAATGTATTTTTACGATTTAACTCCTGAGTTCTAGGTCCTTCCTCCAGTTTGAGGTTCCTTTGGATGGAAGTGTAGCTACCACCAAGAGATCAAGCTCCATGGAAGAAACTCTGAGTAAAACTATTGGACATGTACAAAAAAAAAGAGCTTTGCACCTCTCATTCTTTTATGCCACTATGTAAAAATATCCTGGCCGGCTGCAGTGCTGATTTCTATTAGCACTCTCCAACACTCTCTCCAGACCAGCATGAAGAATTTAGAGCAAGGACAGAAGAAAGACTGTACCTGCTCTGCTCCGGAGTGATGCCTGACCTGCTCTGCCTTTTCGAGTTCTGACCACCATACTGTGTTCAGTGGACCATACACCACCTTTCACCAGGCAGATACTAGTACAACACCAAATTAGCTGTCAGTTTTAGTTATGCAGAGATTTAGAGGTGGACTGTGTAAGTCTCTCATTAAAACTGTCATGAGATATTCTGTCTATGGTAATCTTACAGTAAGCTGTTTAGTAGCTTACCGTTGGCATGTTATCACTACATTTTATAGGGATAATTTCTTTAGCACAGTGCTGGAATTGGCAGTAATGAGGCCCCAATGATTATTTGCGGTAGAAGTAAAAGACACCAAAAAATGTGCAGCCTGTTGTTAAAGAAGAACTCTCTATACACTCACCAGCCACTTTATTAGGTACACCTTGCTAGTACCAGCTTGGAACCCTTTTGTCTTCAGAACAGCTTTAATTCTTTGTGGCATTGATTCATCAAGGTGATGGAAACATTCCTTAGAGAGTTTGGTCCATATTGACATGATAGCATCACACAGTTGCTGCAGATTTGTCAGCTGCACATCCATGATGCGAAGCTCCAGCAGCCTGAACCCTTGATGCAAGGCAGCACGGATCCATGCTTTCATGTTGTTTACATAAAATTCTGACCCGACCATCCAAATGTCGCAACAGATTTATCAGACCAGGCAACGTTTTTCTGATCTTCTATTTTACAATTGAGCCCGTGCGAAATGTAGCCTCAGCTTCCTGTTCTTAGCTGACAGAAGTGGCACTCGGTGTGGTCTTCTCCTGCTGTAGCCCATCTGCTTCAAGGTTCAATGTGTTGTGTGTTCAGATATGTTCTTCTGCATACCTCGGATATATACGAGTGGTTATTTGAGTTATTGTTGCTTTTCTATCATCTTGAACCAGTCTGCCCATTCTCCTCTGACCTCAGACATTCAGACTATTCTCTGTAAACCTGAGAGATGGTTGTGTATAAAAATCCCAGTAGATCAGCAGTTGCTGAAATACTCAAACCAGCCCGTCTGGCACCAACAACCATGCCATGTTCAAAGTCACTGAAATCACCTTTCTTCCCCATTCTGATCCTTGGTTTGAACTTCAGCAGACCATCTTGACCATGTCTACATGCCTAAGTGTATTGAGTTACTGCCATGTGATTGGCTGATTAGATATTTGTGTTAACGAGCAGTTGAAGAGGTGTACCTAATAAAGCGGCCAGTGAGTATATATGTGATAAGTCACAGCTGTTCAGAGGATCATATTAATGTAATAAAGTCCCCTGCAGGCCTGTAACTATCAAACCACAACTATAATATCCTTATGTTCCACCATGGTGCACCACGTGTACCGCTATTAAAACTTTCAATTTTATTTAGCACCCTGTTACTATGTCCATGTTTTGCTGTACCGCCCTTTGTGTGCTGCTATACAATTCTTGAGTTTTATTTTACTCAGCCACAAATAATTATCAATTCTTCCGCCGTGGCACCACTATTAAGCCTGCAATTTTTTTTTTTTTCACCAACATTATTTTACATAAAAAGAAAAAAAAAACTGGCGGAGATTGCCACGGGGATGTATGGCCAGCCTCCTGACACCAGAATAAACTACTCCTGGTGACTGTGACTGGACAACTTGGTGCCGTGTGTGCGTCTCTCTCCTTATGACCCCGGGGTCCCAGGTGTGACAAACCAGGGAGGCCGTGGAGCTAACGGTGGGATTAAAAAACCCCCCGCCCGCCCCGACTCGGCATTCCGGGCACCTCTCCCTCATATCGCAAACCAACCCTGCATGATTCATCCTCAGTGGGTCCCCTGATGAAGCCATTGGCGAAACACGTCGGGGCCTATTAAGATAAGCCACGCCTAGGATAATTATATCTTGTTATACAATAATGTAACCACACCTGGACAATATTGAACAATATCATGATATGTCGGACCAAATGAATTTTAGAGTTATATAACCGATGAATATACAAACATATCCTCTGCAGGGATCTGTTTTTGTTTTATTATGTTTGTTTTGAATCATGAATGTATTTATAATAGTATCTAACATTAATAAATCTTGAGCAATTATTTTTACATATCTCTCTTGGATGGTCATTTACACCCCTCCAAAAACACTTACTTTCCCCCATGTTTATGAAATTATATAATTAGGGGGAGACGTGTAAAACTAGGTGCCCACAGTTAGACAACCCACGATTTAGTAAATTTACATAAAAAGAGATAAATTTAGATAACGAAAATCTTCTCTGCCACTAATTTTGTTCAGCCTATTATTAATATTCACTTAATTTCATGATTAATACTGAAAATAATTTCTGATGTATAGAGAAGTGTGAGGGTGGGGGCTGTTAAAATAAAACACACCCCCGGGTGTCAACTATGCCACCGATTGATTTCCTTGCTTTGCATTTACCAGATCTGAATTTTTGGATACCCTCAGGTGCACATATAAATCTACTGCCGAAACCAAAAGGCCATCTGATCCTTCTGTACAAATTATTTATTTTAAAAATATATACTTTTAATATTATTCAAGTACATTGCACATTATAATACATGGCATAGACAAAAAATGTAAATCTAATGGATAGGTAGATACATATGTAGAATACAAAGGGCTATTTAGAAAAAAATAAAATAAAGTGTAGCGTCAAATTTCTTCTTGATTAAGGCATAGACTCTCAGTCCATGGCAGAAATATCAAACAAATAAACTTTTTTTGTGATAACTGCATACATTTGTCATCCGTTTTGTTTCCTCTCTCCAAAGTGCGTTTCTTGTATTCAGGCATCATGGCATAAAACAGAAAAAAAGGACAAGAAATCTTACACCATTTAAAGTACTTTTTCAAAAATGTAATTCTTTAATTGTGGACAATAAAAAAAAAGAATAAAAATTTAGCACTAACAAGTGTAAGGAATGTGGCAAGATGAAGCAGACTAGGCATTGTGTTGATAATTAAATACAGGTATTATAAGTTATTTCATATAGATATATGGCTTGCAAGTACACGTGCAGCAGTACATTGTCCATGTCTGTTTTCCATTTCCCGAGGTGTCATAAAGGGCAGGAAATTACTGCTTAGCCTCCATATTAAAAAAAAAAAAAGTTCACATTCTTAGGTCTGACCCGTGGCAAGTACAATGAGGTTAAGAGAACATCATCCACTGACCCTATGGAATTGTAGACTTGTGATTCAGACCAGCTGAATCCAGATTTGACTGAATACATATAAAAAAAAAAAAAGAGCCGTTCAGACAAGCATGTGTCTTTTTCTGTGGAGGGCAAGATGGTCCGAGCGGGAAAAGCTGCGGTCACAGTCTGGGCACTGAAATGGTTTGATTCCAGTGTGTTTACGGAAATGCCGAGTCAGTTCGTCAGAGCGGGCAAACTTCCATGTGCATCCTTCCCAAGTACACTGATAAGGCTTTTCCCCTGAAAGAGAGAACAGGAAGATCATGTGAGTGCACAGAGGAGTAGAATAAGCGCAAACAGCTAACGCCTCCTACAATTAAACGGAAATCAGAACAATCAACGAGTAAACAGTGCTCATAGACACTTCGGTGGAAAAGATTTGGAACAGCTTTATGACTGCTGAAATGTAATATCTACCTGAGATGGACATATTAGTACAGTTGGTGCAAACAATCTTATATAAACTATAACAGTTTTTTTGGCAACCAGAAATGGGTCCATAGTATGAAGCAGATCTGATTGTACTTCACACCTTTTTGTTTGGTCATTGCTCATCCCTGTAGTTCTGCATTAGGTAAGTTCAGGGAGCGGCACATAAGGTAAGCAAAACAGAACAGCAATTGTACATTTCTGCAACAGTTCACATCAGGTCCCCATACCTGCTTGGCAGGAACAGATACCAAAGTATATGTCCTACGTTTCTCCATTCCTCCTTTCTCAGCTGTTTCCTTCTACTGAACAAATATATATGCATGTGTTGGTCTGCTTTATGTTTCTCCTCTGTCTTCTCCCACAGTGGAAGAATAGTTAGGTCCCATTCACATGGGGCTTAAGGCTGCGACTGGAGATACTTGCCACAAGAATCTAAAAATCCTTGCAGCAGGAATCCCAGGTTTGTCCATTCATCTTAATGACAGGCTAACAGCTGCTGCATCTGTCAGTGGCAGAGCGCAGGTAAACCGTTCAATGTGGACAGATTAGGTCCAGGCACAGCCAACTATCCCGAACTGCAGTAAATTGTTTCATAAATGAATACATGCGGACTGCTGCTAACAGATGCATCTGCTGCCACATTTATATGGACACACCTGAGATTCTTGCCCCAAAAGTCCATAGGTTCTTGCCACAGGAATCCCCAGCCCCTCAGTGTGACTATAGCCTAACAATTGGACTAGAGACTGGACTGGATTTGTGAAAAGGAAATGTAGGCCATGGCCTAAGGTGGCCACCCCAAACATTATGTTGCTTGATGAACAGCAATGCATAATAAAGGGCTGCAGATTGCCACCCTGCCACCTAAGGCCATCTAGCGGGGTCCCCATTGTTGTCATCCTTGCACACAAAACAGATATGCAACTGGTAAGGAGTTCCTATTAGCAAAAACAATTGCATTGTCTGTACCTGCTGATAGGTTACCAAGGCACTGGACAATGCATCACAGGATTGGTTCAGGTATTTTCCATTATGTGCTGTTAATTACCTGACGCGTAACTTATTTTTGTTTAATTTGTTTTATACACTGGTCTGAATCTCCCACTGATGGCCCTCAGCTTTAAATAAAGTGTGGTCCAGGGAGCATTTGGATACTTGCTCATCTAACCCCTCAGTTGTTCATTATAACAATACAAAAGAGAGAAGACATCAGAGAAAAGATCTCCACATATATACAGCCCACTACAGCCAGTCCTGTAAAATCTGGCATCTAGCACGATGCCCATCCAAAATATGCTGCCCAATACTGACCTGTGTGTGTCCTCCGGTGTGCCTTTAAATGAGAACTTTTTGTGTAAACTTTGTTGCAGCCATCATAATCACATCTATGTATCCTCCTCTTCCTCTGCGTCTCTGGAGACTCCACTGGTAGTGGCCTCTTTCCTGGGTGTACTATAACTGATGGGTGATGTCTGCACAAAGAGACAGAAAAATAAAGGTTTACTCTGTTATGTAACAACTAAGGCACTAAAAGTAATAAAGTGCAAACATCTGATAATAAATAGAGAAGTTAAAGTCTGGGACACAGACACTAGGAGAAAATCGGATGTAAACACTGGCTCCCCGGCACAGTGGCAAGCCAGGCAATGTAAAGTGGGACAGCACTACATCTGACGTCTGTCTCTGGGTAAAACAAATAGGAGAAGGGTGGGGGAACCCCCGGGTTCACTTTAAAGCCCCTTATGCAGCTGTATATTAAATGGTTTGTCTGTCACTGTTAATGTCAAGTATATCTAAAGCTATGGGTTTAGGTTTTGTATAGAGTAGAGAATGATTAAAACCCCTCTTGGTTTCAGTATTTTTTCTATGTGTCTTTGGTGATAGTTACGGTCACTTGCTTTCCAAAAGCACAAAAGTAAGAGAAAAAGTGAGGGGAAACCCCTTCTTAGCTGTCACAGGAAGAGCTATCTTTACTGGAAAATCTCTCACCTACTGTTCAAATGACAACTGTAAAATTCTGGATTTCCCATCACTTTTTGCCCAGGTGAAAATGGCCACCAAGGCAAATAGAAAGCATGATTCTCCACAGCAAGGACACACTATCCAAAACCAAACAGGAAGATTTAAGCTTAGATATGTATTATTTAAACTGGGCTGTTATAGATATTTGTTGTACCTCTAATTTTGTTTTCCACCTATTGGGTTTTTAAAGAAAATATTTTATTGCTAAGTTAATATATATTTACTTTGCAATTGCTTGGAACAGAAATTGCCACAATGATTTTTCTGACTGTCCTGACTATATGTGCCTGTGGTTGTCCTCCTGAAAATCAGCAGAGAGTTCTCGGTTAGAGCTGACTTCATATGTGAGGAATACTTGGCAACATCAGGCTCTGGGTACAGAACAGTCCATCCAGTGACTATGTGGGATTGTATTATTTTGTAATAATTAACAAGGTCATGTTCTCCTTTCCCACGCAAATAAGTTCAGGATTGCAAAACCTTGTTACGTTTTAGTTTTTCCCTCTGTACATTTGTTTACATGTGCTATATCCTACAAAAGTAATGTGAAACAGCCCTCCCCTCACTTTGAAAAAGAGAAAAAAAAAATCTCTGTTGTAGCTCTGAAAATCTCTATTCATTGGAAGAAATATTTGTTATTGTCTCAGTCACTCCTTTCAGGGCAATTAAGAATTTCCTGTTGCTCATTGCCAACAGGAGGGTGCGGTCCTTGCTTTGTAAATGACGTCAATTCCTAAAAGTAGAGTTCAGCCCGGCTGCCCCACCCTTGGGAAGTCTTAAAATTGGCTCCTTGCATTAAAGACATATTGCCACACCACAAGTTGAATACAGCTATGACTGCATCTACATTCCAGAGCACCTTGTCTTGTTTTTCCTCATTTTAACCCAGTTTCATCTACATAAAGCAAATGCTTTCCTTTTTCACCCATTGACACTTATAAAGAAAACACACCCTGCAAAAGGGAAAGTACCTCTCTCTCTCTTTCTTTAAATCTTACAGGCAGAGGAACTAATGAGATTGTTCCATAAATTCTGAACAATTCTGTAATAATTACAGCTGATATAGCCTTTAAAGTAAAAAGTCCTTTATTATTCTCACCAACATTAAACTGTATTACAATATAAAAAAGCTATAAAGAATTACAGTTTATGTATAGGATTTTTTTTAGAGAGAGTAGGGAAGAGATAAAACCCTTTATCAGGTTATTTTTTGTTGTCTGAGTCCAGCTGGGGAGATTTCCCCTCATGTCCTGTTGTGAAGAAGCAACAGGAAATCAGAGGAAATTTCTACAATGTTAGAGGAATTGTCATCTTAGGCAGTTGTCAGCAGAATATTTGTCCCCACTGGATAATTAAACCTCACCTCTTGCTTTGTTGGCAACTCTAGAATTTTGGATTTCTTATTACAGTGGTCACTAGGACAAATAGAGAGGGTGGAATCTCACAGCAATACATACTTGATTTGAGGGTCTGACTCTACCCACTCTATCCAAAACGAAGGAAAAGCAAAACTTACATACACTTTATTATACATATACTGATAACATAAGCTAAGCAATCATACAGCTAGATCAGATGGAGAGATCATATCAATCTACAACAGAGGACCACAAAGAAAACCTTACCCTGCCCTGACATTTTATCATGGATTGCAAACCAATTAGAGAAAAGGAGGCGGTTATACAAGTAATCTTCAATGTGATTGACAGATAACTGCAGTACTATTGAAGTATATGTAGTCAGATCTATTGTATATGAACCACTGTGATCGAACATATTCCATTAAATGCAATACAGTATACTATAGGTGATCCTAATGGAAATTGTTCTTTGCTGTTACGTCACATTGCCATTAGTGGGTTCAAACTGAGTATCAAAATGATACAATCAGTTTTGCATCTGAAGGAACTAAGAATGTGCAGTCACTGAGCAACTATACTTTGTTATGTAGAAGTGTACCAACTTTAGGCCTACAGAGGCCTGCTTACGCTCCCATGGGCCTGTGTTTATCCATGCTAATTTTAGATCTCATTTGTGAATATGTACCGAAATGTAGTTTTTACTTCTTTGTAATCCTGAATTAAATATTATTCAGATTTTGAAGAATTGTGTTCCCATGTAATCAACTGTATATTGATGTAGTCCACCATGTAGAGGTGTTCTTAAAACGACAGGCAGCTGCTATATTGAGAAAGCATCACTTACTCATGGAACATTCCCTTTGGAGGCGTACTCATACCAGGTGACATTTGTTCTGGGTAAACTTCTGTTACTGGTTGTTCCAGACCAGGTTCAACCTTTATGTTTTTTACTAGAGGAGCCGTTTCATAACACTCATGGACTGTCACAGGTACTGCAAAGGTAAAAAAAACATTGTATTATAGCTTACCGTTCTGTTACCTCTGTCAAATGCTCTATTGCAACAACAATTATAAAGAATACATATTATTACATTATTAGCACTTTTACAAACAAGTATATACTTTTAGCAGTATAGGTTAAATTGTTGGCAAACTCAGTAGATACAGTGAGGTTATTTACTATATTTATTATTTTACTATTGTTATAATATATATATATTATATAACAGGTTTTTTTCTTTGTGTATTTGTGTTAAGAGAAAAAAGTTGACTGAGTGGTGATTTCAATATAACCAAAACAATAAAGAGGGAAAACATGGAAACATTTTCTGTAAATCCACCTCATTACATAGGTTGGGTTCTAATTTAGCACATAGAATGAGATACTTCCCAAAAGTATATACTACACATGTTTAGAAATAGAGTTTAAAACTGTTCATAATTTAGGTCCCACCTCTGCAGATCCCTAATACCCATTAAAATATGACAACATAGCCAAACCAAACAGCTCTCTTTGCCCTACAAATTCTAGCCAGGTAAGCATTTTATTGTACACCTTCTTATACACCCTATCCTTTCATAAAACAGGATATGGCCACTTCAATTGATTCCTATATCTATGATATAGCAAGATTCGAACCACAAAAGTATATTTTTTAATACTCATAATAATTTAATTTATTTAATACTCATATTTGCTATATGTTCTGCAAGAAAGTGAACCAAAAAGTCCAAATACCAGACATCAAATTTTCATCACCTTCAAGTTCGATCACGTTTGCCATTATCAAATAGACCAATATTTATCCAGAAGCTGTTATCTACAACAAAGGTTGAACATCACTAGTGTGCACATATCCAGGAGCATTCTGGCAGTATCAAGTTTACTGATGGTAAGATGGTATTTAAGTTACCATCTAAAAGCACTGCACAGTGGTTACACAGGGGTTTGCCAAACCCTTACCTCAATATCACCAGCAATGCCTTGTGATGGTAATTTCACCCACACACTGGTGAACAAAATTATTGTCTTAACAATGCTACCTGAGAGAAAATCCACAAACCATGAACTGCTGGTTCTTCGATAAGAGGGCAGTAGAACATGCTACATGAGAGCTCAGAAAATAGTGAAGGAGGATTTGTGATGTGACTGGGACATTCATTGACCTTTCTTCACATGTTTGTGATCAATGGACAAAAGGCAGCGAGGGGGGTAATGATATCTCTGTTGTAAGCTACAACTTGCTGCCTGTAGTGAATCACTAAGCTTCTCTCATGGTATAAAATCTCTCGTATATATACCTAAAAAAAAAGTGATCTTGCCTCCCAGCATTTTTACAGTTATTACATATTCATTACTTACTGTGTTTGTTGCTTTGACTTTCCATCTCTTCCGCTAGAACCGTGGATAACATGATTGATTGTTGAAGATGGGGCGCATACATTAATGACTGTACATGAACTGGTTGTACAACCAACGGCTGTAGGAGGGGTAGGAGTCCCGAATTCCTGTAAGTCTGTCTCGGGAAGGCAGATAATATAGGGTTAAGAGCCATTGGCATTGGGAAATGTGGCATAGCAGGTGGGGATGGGGTTAATTTTTTCATTGGTGGACTGGGGGAGGGCATAAATATTATTGGAGAGTTTCTCTTGGGTGACTGGTATTTGGCAGGAGATGGGGAGCTTCCAGTGGAAGGTGGTGAATTCCTTTTGTTTGTAGTGAGATCCACCGGCTCTATTTGGAAAGTAGGAAATGCTTCGGCGCTGTGGTAGAGTTTACTGTGCAGCATGCCTGGGGTTGGATAAATGACGCTGTATTTATTATTTGTCTTCAGTGGCTCCATGTAGCTGTGTTGATATGGCTACAGGAGAGAGAAAATAAAACAAGTCAGAAACACCTTCAAACACAAAATGTAAACAACAGTAGATAATGTGTGGACATCTAAAATGTCTGTTTAAATTAGGAAATGCCAGCAGACGCACACAGCGCATGCAGCTTTTCCAGAAGCATTGGACACAAATGATACATGGATCTGGGGCTAACCTGGTGGGGAGCCCTCTCAGTGGAGACTGGTGGAGCTGTAGTGTTTAACATACACTTTTATTCATCTTCCATTTTACAGGTTCAGTGTGAGCAGATACCTAACCATAGCCATGAAAACGGTACACCTACTATAGGACCATTAGCACAGAGCTCCAGAACTATTTGACGTGCATAACAGTTTATGTAGGCCCAAATTGCATGTAACAGGTAAGTTTGGATAAAAGAAATGTATATACAGATTATGTACCTCTATAAGATTGCTATGAAAGCCATTGGAATTCCAAATGAAAGAGCTGATTTAAAGTGACACTAAACTCAGGAGTTAAATCTTGAAAATGCCTTCAAAGTACCTGAACTATTAACAAAAATGTATCTTATTTGTGTATCACTCAGCTGTAGATCCTCCAATCTTCTCTGAATTCATGCTGACACTGTCCTTCCTTCTGGAGGGTGGTAAGGTACTTGAATGCATTTTTAAGATTTAACTCCTGAGTTTTGTATCATTTTAAGCATACCTATACCAAAGAACAAAAATTGTATATATTATAGCTTAAATACTAATATGCAGGCCACTTAGAACCGGCCCCCCCCCCTTCTCCCTTTACTTTCCTCTCCAGCGCTCCCTAGCCACTTCTGTCTCTAGTTTATTGACAATGCTCATGTCTGACAGTGGGCAGTCATTAGGCTCAAGCATTGTAATGTTATGTAGAGGGTCCCCCTAGCTTTGGACAGAAGCCGACAATGGGTAGTTTGGGGCTCAACTGCGATGGAGGAAGGAGCAGCAGGGTACCACTGGAAATATATAATTGGATTTTGGGGGGCGTTTTCACTGATGCTATAACTTTAAGCTGTGTTGTCAGTTGGCATAATATAGTGAAGGAGCACAGACTCAAAATTCTTTTGGGTGTAATATCCAATACATTAATATCCAGTTGGCCATATTTTCAAACATCTTGCAATTCATTATATCCTTAATTCAACATTCTCTTAAAATTAATGTATTATTTTCTGGTATTTATACCAGAACTATATCTTAAAATTGTATGTAGACATTTTCATATTTCATACATCTTTCAACATTTCATAATTTGCTTACTCAAGCCAAGCGAAAGCTGTGAAGACGTATTATAAAGTTTTGTATTTATATAACAACTTCCAACTTTCCCAATGACCCCCAAGTTCAAGACTTTCAAGAGGCAGTCATACAGGATAAACTCATTGTCACTGTATGCTACTTGTCTTTAAGGACAGCCATAAAAACGTGTTGTTGGCTTCCTATAGTCCACAAAGGACTGGCATGGTTGGTGTAATTGTGTAATTCAAATCTATGGACATAATAGGAGAAACAGATGGCAGACAAAGTTAACATTCAGAGTTTGGCCAGCCAAAGACACCCTTCAGAATTAAAAGGAAAAAAAAATAGAAGATTATGTTCTCTATGACCAAAAAGTCTGCCAAAAGCCATGGTGTGGTTCTTGGCACACAGCTTTATATGACTAGGTTTCAGCCCGTAATAAAGCAATTACCACATCACACTAGCTATATCGCCATGGAAATATCCATTGTATTATTAAAAGTTTCAACTTACAGCAGGGAGGCAAAGAAACCCCCCCCCCC